AAAAGAATTGTGAGAAATTACATCAATTGTCCAAGCACCAGACAGAAAAAAAACTGAAAAGAAGGCCATTCACTCATTCTTCTAATTAACTAGCAGAAAAAAATGATAAAAGAAGAGTTTTAAAATTATAACAATTAATTTCTTCTACACACAAATACTTATTAGAACAAAAAGTGAATATTCGGAAAGTAACAAAAACTCCTAAATTGAAGTCTCTTTAATGTCAATACAAAAATAATCAACAAATTATTTCAGTTAATGTCATGCACAAAAGAAGAATATTATTTCCGAAGATGTCATTATTCCCACACATTCCAGGAGAAAAAAATGAAATAAAAACATACACAGGTAGAATACCTTTCAACACTAACAATAGAAATATTTATGAAACCGGTTAAAGTGGTTGATAATCTCCAGAATATCTGCAGTACCAAATAAAACTGTGAAGATAACTGTATGAAGCAAAAACATGCAGATATGTACTTATCTTTAATGAAGAAAAAAGCAACGCAGGCAGCAATTTAAAGCTGTTTCAAGTGGAAGCAAAGGTCACACAAAGCAGAAGCAGAATTAAGAGGTAATATGCCAACCATGGCCAAATGAACTATTTTAATTCATGGATCAAGAAGTAAGGTTCTTTCATTTAGTCAACACCATCGATTTTTTTTGTTACAATTTGTACACTAAGCCTTGGAAAGTGAAACAGTTTCAGGGAACATCTTGATAAAACAGTAGATTCACAAAGTGGTAAAGACTGCTCTAAGAAAGTTACTAAAAGAAAAATATATTTAAATCAATCATTGTCAAACTTTAATTCTTTTATCATTCAGATTCAGTGTTGATTGTTCTCTTGATGCCATTTACCCCAATCAACTTTCAAACTCAAAATACAGTATTGTGATTTGCGAACTGAAAATTTAATTTTAAGTTTCTCTTCCTACCCCCTAGGAATGTTTTATTTCACATTTTAAATTTAATATGGAAGATAATTCATAATTCTTTCTCTGATCAATCAAGGAAGAAAATTTGGCCATGCTAGGAATATACAATAAAATACTGGAATATGCCACTGATTCTTGTTACCTTTACAAGCAGCTCACAAATACATTGTTCTATCTATACTTCTACACAACCTCAGATTATGTTCAAAATTATTATTATTATTATTATTGAACAAATGTGTTAGTTTTTTTGCAACTCTCAACTTAACATTGAATTCTTAAATTAATTTGCAAATACCACTATTATCTGTTCACATAAATCATAATTATTTGTATTTTTGCAGCATGCTTTTAGAAAAGTTAACACAAAAGTTAAGTTGAGAATCACAAATCTACAGTGCAAAAAACTAAACAAAGCAATGCAACTGGAGGGTTTAGATATAGCAAAATTATCAAAAACAACAGACATTTACCTCATTTGCAGCATTCCCAGCCTGAAACAAGAAATGGCCTCTCAAACACATAAACAGACAGCAAGTAGACATCAAATAGTAAATATATTTTTTATTTTTAATCACCAATGCTTCCCCTTGATAACAGATAAAATTTACACATTCTTCAATCAATAAAAACTTACACATATTCACGAAAAAGATAGGAGAGGAAAAAAGGAAATAATTATAATCTTAAATTTTGTACAAAATAAATATGAACTTTGGTCAGAAAATCAAGATTCAGAAAAAACACATGAAATAATTTCAATGAATATTTTAAATAAAACTGATAAGTTCTTTATTTTTGCAGGAAAGCAAGACAAAAAGAAAGAAATAAAAAATCAACAACAACCATCAACAGAAACAATATCAGGGATGACATTTGTGACTCAAGATTTTTAAAACGAGTGGTTGGCCTAAGTCGAAATACTTCTGTTGTGTTTTGTATGTATAGTAGAATATTAATGCACTTTATCTTACAAAAATTTGTAACATCCCATACAGTTTAGTGAATTTGAAAAGAATGCTGCATTTTTTGAATACCAGCATTTAATGAAGATTAATTCAATTAGGTTCTTCAATAAAGTAGTAAGAATTCAGCTGATTGCACAAAAGCAAAGAAGAAATGTGCATAAAAAGGGCATGATTGTGTAAGCATACACCCAGCCACACACACATTTATTAGATCAATTGGTCTGAAGCAATAGATTTTTTCCATACACACAGATAAAATAAGTATATGCAGAATTTTATTGAATTAATATTTGATCTCAAGGAGTAACACAAGCAGCAAAACTGCAACATCCATTGGCAGGCCATGCCAGTGCCTTGCATGAAGCCCATGCGTTTGCCAACACGAGCAAGCACAGTCAGGCCTAGCAAGTCTAATACATTGACAGTGCATAAAAAATCCTGAAAAGGTAACTTTAATAAGAACTTCTGAAGAAAACAAGGAGTTATGACACTATCACAACTGCTTTGCAAATAAAACTATTATGAAGATGATGATAAAAGATTACAAAAATAACACTCGAAATTTTTTTCCTTAGAATCCTACAAAAAGCAGTGAAACAAACAAAATAATTTAGGAAATAATCACTGGGGAAAAAGAAAAGAAAAAGTGTATTTGTATTCTTTAGCATCAAGAAATGCAGTGATAAATCAATGTACACAAAAAAGGAAAGAAAAAATATTCTTTTAAATCATACTTTACAATGGTTTGTTCAATCCTTCCAAAAGATAAATAAAAAGGTTTACATGCACAATCACCCATTCAGACACCCTGTCTCAATGAATTCCAAACATATTTTGCCTGGACATCCAAATAGTTATTTTAGTATGTTAGGTGCACTGTTGACTTTTCAACAAAAGATGGATGATAAATGAAGAACAAAACATTTAAATATGTGCCTTCCAAACGTTCTCCAAGAACCCAGGATGGAGTTTATTTAAAAATAAAAATACAGAAAAAGAAATATTGTTACCAGGAAAACTAGAAATGAATTTTGTATAGCTACATTATAAGTAAGTGATGGATGAGAGGTTTTGTATAAAATTTGTTGCAATCCAATTGCACTTTTGTGACAAATAATTGAGATTTATTTCTGTGTATCTAGCCCTTTTGTAACTTGTGTGAAGAGTAGAAGCAAGTATACATTGTGAAAGCACAATTAGTCTATTCGAAGATAAGGCCAACACACAAGTTCACACCAGCGCAAATTACTTCAACTTCAACACTTCACAAGGCACTGTATTATATAATAATAATAATTTGACAGTAATCAATATAATAAACCAATTTTTTTTATAGATTTCACACATTTTGACCGTGACAAATAATTCTTAACTTCATATCAAAAATACATTCCAGAATACAAATGAACAAAATTTTTAGAAGCATGAATTACAAGACTGAATTAAATGCTCATTATGTTAATACCTGATGCACATACATATTTTTTTTATGAACAAAATATTTTCAACTTTGAATGATTTGGCAAGTTGTAAATAACATAAAAAACAAACAAACAAACATTTATACACAATGTTTTCTTATCAAGTTACATTCTAGTGATAACAAAATTATTCTCACCTGTAATCTGTAATTAGGGTCAGCAGTGGCTGCATGTGCGGCTAAGAAAGGATCGTAGTAGACACTACTGCAAACAAGAAAAAAGACATGGCAGTATGGGAAGTAGCAAGCCTCACTCAATTTCAACTATATTATTACTACAACAGTAGTGTGTCAAGGCAACAAACAAAAATTGTAAAAGTAAAGTTTAAATAGTATTCCCCCCACCCCACCCCTCCCCCCCCACTGAATATATTGCTGGAACCAAAATTGACAAAATGATTTCAGTTTTTAAAAGAAATTCATGATTTTGTGTAACTCTTATTCTGGATTCACATTCAAAAAGTGACTCAGTGTAATTGATATATCAGTCCACAAAAAAATTCTTTGGGTTTATGGTGTCACAGAAAAGGGACTATTCTTTAATAAGTCTTTCAGATGTTTAAGAATTCCTGTTGTATTAAAACAAATTTTAATTACATACATAAATCCATTTAAAACAATCATAATAAAACAAAAAAGAAATTTTGAGTTTACAAAAATATTTTAAATGTTTCCAATAATATGTACTATTATAACTGGGACACTTCTTCTCCACATTTTGCGGAAGAAAACTCCCTGTATAAATAGTCTGGATTCACAAATTTTTGAAGTAAGCAATAAATCTTCAATAAATAAATAAAATTTAATAAATTATACAAAAAATGAAACAACAATTTACTTCACAAAAAACAGTTATGTAGAAAAATAATCGAATTCACTGAACACGTCAATTTCTGATTTAAAAGTGAAACACTAATTTATGTATTCACCTGTTTTTATGAAGTAAATTGTTGTCACTTTCTTATACAATTCACTAACATTCATTTATCTATTAAATATTTATTGCTTTGTCAATAAACTATGTGGATAGTACTGTTCTGTTTGTCCAGGGTAATTCTAGAGCAGCTGAACAGCTTTCAATGTGGTTTTCACTTAAAGGTAGGGTGTTTTATCTTTGGCTCTTTTCAAATTATTATTTTCTCTTACATTAAGAAAAGTGTTGTCTTTTTCATAAAAATCTACGATTTTAATCAGATCTTAATGAAACTTTCAACATTTGACTATCGAAACAAGAGAAAAGTTTCATGAGATTTTACAAAAATTACACCTATCCCTCTTTCTTACCCTTAGAGCAAAATTAAATTTTGCTCTAAGGGTAAGAAAGGGGGTTACATTTATTTTTATTGTCCAGAAACAAGGGGCCATCTCAGCATTTGCTCAAAGGACATGTCCGGTGAGTTTGCAGAGACACATTTGCTTTCAGCTTACCACAGCAATGATGATCGTACAGAACATGGCAGGGTGGGTGGGGGTGGGGGGCATAGAGGGCCAGCTGAAGCAGAATAATTATGAAATACCTGGGTAACGCATCAGCAAGTTGCAAATAACGAGATTGTGTGGAATGCAGTTATAAACTTCATGGCACACATTCGTTGCATTTCTTTATTGTAATTAGGAAATAACTTACAAGATTTTTTAACTAACTTACTACGATTTTGCAATAAAGAATAGAAGATAAGATAGAATTCACAATATCATTTGTTTAATAAAAATATAGAGAAAAAAATTGAAATGGTTTCAAAGCCAAAACAGACATTTTACTATATATATATAAAATGGTTTGAGGTCATGGTAGTTTTCATAATTAAATTATTGAGGGTTCATTGATTTCTACGTTAACTTAGAAAAAGGAGGAATGGAAAATAAACCTGATGTACATTTCTGAAAATCAAAACTTAAAATACATACATTAAAATCATATCAGCACTATTTGTAGAGCAAATTGCATTTTTGATCATCTTTGAAAACTCTAATTATTACATATTTTTGACACACATAAATATTCAAGTTATTTCTAAAACATCGCACAACACAATATTAGTATCAATTAGAGGTGCACATTTTCATAATATACTTCATGCTCACACATTTTACTACATGTCCAAAGAAAGAAGGAAACTGAAATAAAAAAAAAAAACTCAAAATACATAAATAAGCTTACATTTCAAGCAACTGAAGGAATAGCGAATATGAATATAGAATGGATCCAGCTTATTAAAGTTAGGAAAAAAAAGCCCAATTTTTTCTAATTAACTTAATTCAAATCTCAAAAATGCAGGAGTCTTCCTTCCTATGGCCAGTGTGGAAAATCTTCATACTGATTTTGTGATGGCACAGATGGACCTTTCTGTACTTCAAATTCTCTACTAGAATAATAAAATGAAACTAACAAATGTTTTATGGGTTCTCAAATGTGAGAAAGAATTCCATATAGGTCTGAATCAAACATTCTACTGAACCAAACCACTTTGGTTGACAATTCCTTGCAGAAAATTATATAGGCAAACCTTTTCCATAAGTTAAGAATAAGACTCATTGAACTACAGGCTGAGACAGTTTAGGTCTCCCATTCTAAACATATTTTTTTTAAAGAATATATATTGTGAAAAAATGATGATTGTTATGGAAAATATAAAACCGTAAGAGAGGAAAGGAATTGACAAAAAATTATATTTATCAAAATTCTTTGCATTACCACCAAATTATATTTACCAAAATTCTTTAATAAAAATATAGAAATCAATTAGAAACTTTTTCAAAAAAATGAAACCAAAAAATTAAGCAGAATTTTATTAAATGAAACTGGATCTTCTTCTTCTTACTTTTTGTAAACGAGACATAGTATATACAGGATCTTTATTTTATCTTGCAACCCATGGGGGGGGATCTGCCCCTGTTTTGGCATTTTGACAACTGAGTGAAATATCTGTAGTATTTCTACCACTTTTAGTGATCCTCCGCAACTGGCGTACACTTACTACGTCCTTCAACATTAATTCTTTCTGGTTTCATCCATCCTTGTAAGAACCCATAAATAATAATAATAATAATAAAAATAATAATAATAATAATAATAATAATAATAATAATAATAATAATGACAAGTAGCATGAATTTGTCTGTAATTTTTGTAATAATTTGGACAAATTGTCTGTTAAATTGAAAATAAATAAATAAATAATAACAATAAAGCTAACCCCATGGCACAGGCAGCTGCGGCAGCTGTAGTCTGTGCCGAGGAGGCTGCAGGTTCGAGTCCTGCTTAGGAATGGTTGTATATGTGATTGTCCTTTCCACTTCTCGTCATCATCCAATCACCTCATAATTCACAATTCAAGGCATAATAACCTTGTCTTACCAAGGGACACAGCCAAAAAGCTGACCCCCATAATTACACATGTTAATTTCTCTCTATAGAATATGAGTGAGCTCGAAAGAGAATGTGTAATGAAGTCAGAAATGGCCAATACTCATCATAATGATACATCATAATGATGATGATAACGATAATAATAATATTGATGATAACAATAATAATAATAATAATAATAATAATAATAATAATAATAATAATAATAATAAAGAGATTTGTGATAATGTTTCAAAGTATTTCTTTCTGATTTCTCTTTGTGCTGACTTTCATTAAATAATAATTATTTGTACGTCGCAGTTAAATCGATTGGGAAATACAAAATTCCAATACTTTTATGGCTGAAAAACCTAATATCGCATACAACCACACACACTCACTCCTAAAGTTACGGCAAAGGATCTCATATCACACCCTTCTTTTATTTAAGCCCATAGTCCAGGGTTTTTGCCACCTAACTGAACCACAAGGACTAATACGTTCATGTACTTTGAAATAATTAATGATACATTTGTATACATAATATTTTTTTTTTTTTAAATCTACAGACCCTACGTATGAAACTTAAATAAGCTGAATTCATCTAATTAGATGCTAAAAATGACAAGAGGAAATATAATTTTTAAATACTGCAGCCAGGCTTTCAACTTGTATTCAATTCTAAGTTTGGAAGGTGCAACATGTGCAATAACCCCACATTTTAGATGAACAATCTTCATGAATTTTGCTTATTTGGTGATTTTTTCAGTGAAATATATTTAGTTTTTCCAGTTTCAGAAAAAATGTGAATTTGTCCTTTTGTGAAAGAAGACGCCAATTTTACTAAGACTGTAGTTTCATGCCTGGCAGCCAGCAAAGAGTTATCAGTTGTTCACTGAAAGAAGACGAGAGTCAACAATTGGCTATTTAAAATGGTCATTTGCTGATCAGATGTGTGACAATTCCTAACTTCTTTAATAGTAACACTATATTATTTTCAATTATTTTGATGTATTTAAGAATAATTCTCATTCATTGGATTACTAATTTTCCACAATATTTATGACATTAAGATGGGGTTGCTAGTGAGTACAAAATCACTATTATAATACAATTTTATTTTCTGCATACTTTCTTGAACGAAACACATTAGCTTCTAGGATTCAGTTCTGTATGAAGTAAGCACAGTAATTCACGACGGAAATTCTATTCGTAAGTCCTGGAAAAGATGCGTCGTACTCACGGTGTGTATCCATGCAACGCGGTCGCAGCAGCTGCTGTTAGCGGGGTGGGATGTCGAGCAAACGCGGCAGCTGCGGCTGCAGCAGCAGGGTATGTAGCTCTTGCGCGACCCCGTTGGATTGCTACTCCACGTAATGCTGCAGCTGCTGCTGGTAGGCGCACCCGGGATGTTAACGTAGTGAGAAGAAGAGAGAGGAAACAAAGAAAACAAACCATGCAACAAAACACATCACAAGCATTAGCCTGGGCCTTGTGTCACTAGGCTGAGGGCTAGCAGCAAAGCAGGTACCATGGTACGAGTTACGTATATGGTTCAAGGCCGGGGGGAGGGAGAGATAAAGAGACGGGGGTTAGGAGGAGGAGAAGAAGAAGAAGAAGAAGGGAAAGGTATAACAGATCAAGAAGCAGAGTGCTGTTCAATTTATTTTTAATCCAATGAATGCAATAGGCAGCCACTGTCACTGGGAACGCATGTTACGAATTGTTCTATAAGGCAGTAAGGCAAGCCTATATATTTCAAATGACATGAACCATTGTTTTACAAATTAAAAAATTGAAATGAAATAAATTTTGAATAAGTAAAAAGTATGAAATATAACATCATTTAATTATATCTTAAATTGGCTTCGGTGCTTCAAAAGTCATAGTTAATTTAAAATAAAAGTTAAGAAAAATTATTTCTGAAAACTATGAGGTCCTCTAATAAGGTTTTTCTAAAGGAAGTGGATGTAGAACACAAAAGTGGGATTAGAGGATTGTTATATTGCACAGACCAGAACATGCTGCTAATTCAATGTTAGTTATTGCATTGCACCACAAGTCATGGCTGGGTGTGTTCAAGTTGGCTAAGTTTGCTCTGTTTTTTCATCACCAAATATAGACACCACTATCCCACTACAACTAACACTACTACCACTAGTATTTTTCCCCTTCTCATTCTGTACATTTATGCTGACAAAGTGATTTTGAAGTGGATATTAAATTTTCAATTAAATTAGTTGGAAGAAAGATGAAAAAAGGAGAGACTGTTTATAGTCAATGGCCTTCTTGACATGAGCTACTTTACATTTTAACAAACAAAAATGAAATTAAATATATAAATAAATAAATACGATTTTAAAAGTAGCCAATGCTCTTTCAGTATCTCAGTAATTCTTCCTAGTAAGGCAGGTGCACTAACCATGTGTCTACTTCACAATTTCATTTAATTTTAATTACTCTGGTCAAACTTGCTAGAAAAGAAAGAAAAAAAAATACCCCTTGCATTTAATATCTGAAGAGAAAGTGCCAATAACAACTTTAAATAAAAAATGTCAGTAGTATAGGTAATACGTACTGGCAAGAACAATACAATCTCAATGTGATTTTGTTACATGAAAGCATGCACCCACATTCCAAATGTGCATTTTGAAAACAAGAAAAACTCAAGCCACAGCTGAAGAATAATCATCAGTACTTACTTAATATTCAAGCCATAAAATGCATAATTAAGTTTCATGACAAAGAAACAGAGCAAGAGAGCCAACTGTATGTAAACCGTAACACCCATGCCATAAGGTACAATAGACTGCTACAACTAGTAGCACAGCACGGCACAGCACACACACACACACGAGCCAGGGTACCTCCGGCGTGCGGTGCGTGGTGTCAGCACCAAGGGCGCAGCTGGCGCTGTACTGGAGGTGGAAGGGGTACCAAGGGGAGAAGCCGTGGCAGCTGCAGCAGTTCCCCCCAGCCAAGACCACGGCACTGCTGGCAGCCTGTAGCCTAGCTGACACAAGGGAGCACTCTAAAGAGTCTTATTCCCTTACATACTAAGTATAGCACAGAGATTAATTCAAAATATTCCCTAATTTTTGTCCAACCAAACAGAATTTTGAGACTGTATTTCTAATTTCTTTATGAGAAATGCATTTTCAATAATTGCATGTAAAAACAACAACAACAACAACAATAATAATAATAATAATAATAATAATAATAATAATGAGAACGTGCACAAAATTCTGCACAGTTAGCACATAAATAAATAAAATAAATTTTAACTGTTTCTCTATTATCTTCGATACATTAATATCAATACTTCCTCCAAACAGTTTGTCTATTTATGTTTTTATTAACACACCTAGAAATAAAATGAATTCTTTTTTTAACCAATTAAATAAACAAAAATGATTCAAGATGCATAATGTTAGAGATCTAAAATCTATATTCACACAGTATTAATATGGATGCAAAATACATGCTAATGTTAAAAGATTTTATCTCAAAATTGGACAGCATTATAATAAACCATGCCCGTATTCTTTTAGTATCGATTCTAGTATTTTCAATTTAACTGTAATTTGAATAACAGCTAAATTATTCACTATGAAACAATTATGAATGTTAACAATGAACAATTTTTTTAACAATATTGAAGATGAATTCATGCCTAATATAAATTGCGACTTTAGATCATCACTGGATTATAATAATATACACACACATTACAAAAGTAACATACATAATTAAGGAAACTACACACAAATATTAACTATACCATTTTCAAATGGAAATTATTTGATTTTCTTTTGTTGTGGTAGTCATTTTTATTTTTTATTTTATTTTATTTTTATTTCTTGTCCAGTCCCTTTTTCTTTGAGTAGTTCTACTAAGTTTTAATTAATTAGTAATTTGCCCTTGACTGAAAATTTTATAAATTAATTTTCATGACTCGTATGCTCAAATAAAATTTGCATCATCCGATATATTTTTTGAACACAAATTAAAAAACGAAGAAGCATGCTTAAATAGAAATAAAATTATAATAATTCTTTAATGATATAGCATGCAGCATTAAAAGTAGTAACAAGACTTTGCTCTTAGAGGTACAACTTACCTATCAAATGTGAAACCTCTAGTTAGGGTAGGAAATACACACATACCCAACCCACATACGCAAACATTCAAAAGAGAGTGAAGGCTCTCACTGACATTTCTCTCCATGCTCATGCAGCACTACAGGAATTTCATTGTTCATACAAACAACTATGTAACAGGCCAAAACAAAACCTTTTAGCAGAATTTATACTTTTTACCTTCAAAAACACTAATATTTCTCAACATCCTTCAAGTAAAGTGTATTTACAATTTTGTTGTTTTATTCTCTATTCATCTTTGACAAATTATAGCCTTGTTACCATGCTGTTTGGATAACAAATTCCATAACTATGGCTAAAGCAAGGTACAGCTAATAAGCTAATCTAAATTAACATGTGTTGTGTGGACTGGCCCCCACCAATCTGGGTGACCTCCAGACCTACCCTCAGGCCACTGCACGCACACTGGAACAACACAAAACACACAGGCACGCCCTTAGCATCACCGTAGCCATCAGGCAGGGGTAGCATAGATAAGATTGGGGTTAGGGATTGGAAAGGGTATGAGAAGAAGATTCAACCTGCATCCTACCACCTACTACATGTTCCCAGACACTCAAAAATTTGCATGCAGCTGTTACATATACATGGCTGTTTGGCTTAATTACCAAAATATTGCCTTTATACTTAAAAACAGATGTCATCAGAATCAATACTTTAAAAATTAGAATTTACACAATTTACTGGACAATATTTTCATACAAAATATGAAACGTCCAATTTTAATAAATTTTCTTCTTTTTTTGACCACTGATTTTAAAAGAAAATATTCTTGAAGAAAGAAATATAATAGAGTGATCATAAATTTTAAAATAAACTGCATTCAATATTTCTGTTAGCAGAATACAAAAAAGTTTTGTAACTGAACTACAAATCTTACTCTAAAACAAGAACAAAGGACATGAAGGAGGGTACATTTGTTCATATTGAGCATTCTACACATTTCAGATGATTATCAGAAGTAAAACAATTTCTAAGCATATCAGAATGGTTTCACTGAAACTGTGCCAAAGTAATACAAGGATAAGCTCATGCAGAACAAACATATCCATGGTAACTATACAACAACTAGAGCAAGGACACGACACCAGGCCTTAAAAAAAGCTCAGTGCAATAGAGGCACCACAAAGCTTTGACTTGCTTAAAATAATTTAGCAAAAACGTAAAGAAACCAATTTAAAAAAATCAGAAGGCACAGAGACGTATCTATACTCTTTAACTTTACATGCAGAATGACATTGTTACAGATTTCTGCTGAATTTTCAACAATTCTCTAATTTTAAGGTACTATATAATCACTGAATTGAAATACAAACTCTTTACAAGCAACAGAAAATGCTGCCTCCAAATATCTGACTATCTTTGGAAAAGCACAGAGCAATGAGCACTGAACAACCTCGTTTGTTCACCCAAATTGTTTTTCATTTCCGAGTTAAAAGACAGTTCTCAACTCTGATCAGAATATAACTACTCTGGTTAGTTCGTTTAAATCTGAAATACTTCATTACATCTGGGCAGATAACTTGTGCTCCTACGCTCTTACTGCCCAGTCGGTAAGGTTTTCTTATGTTGAAAAAATTAATAAAAATTTAATAACATCTGCTACAATGAAAGATCCAGCAACAAAACCATTCACTACTGTATATGCATCCACATAAAAATAACTACAAAATGTGAAATTGCAAAAATATAATATGCACTAATAGACAAACAAATACATGCACTTACATTGTGGGATTTTAAATTTATTAAACTAGAACAAAATGTGTAAGGACAAGAAAGCTGCAAAGAAAACTAAGCAATGGTGCAAAGTACACAATAAATGTGATAGTAAACCTATTTTCAACATCTTAATAAATATATATATATATATATATATATATATATATATATATATATATATATATATATATATATATATATATATATATATGTTTTTGGCATATAAATATATATATATTTTTTAATGTTTATGGCAGATCTTTGCACTTATCTGTACCAATTTGCTAAATGTATATATTCCATTACCGACTGAGCATAATAGACAAAATAAGATTACAAGGCTCTTGTTACACACAATGTGAATGAAGAGAAAGACAATGTCCCATAGCTGACATTTTCAATGAATTTATGATAAATGGCAGAGGAAAACCATTTTATAAATCAAAAATGATTCATTTTTCTCAAGAATATTGTAATGCAGGCGTGTTATTGAGTGTCAGTCTTCCTTTTGCTTCTAAAACTTCCTACTCCTACCAAAAACAATGCTAGCAAATGACATAATACAGAGTTCAGCATGGGACAGCATGTGAATGATTCAATACTCAAATTTCTCTTTGAATGTACAGATAACATTTAGGTAGTTCTCACATATTCATAGATACAACAGCATTTTGAAAAGAGTGTACAGTGCTAGGAATCTAGCAAACACCCATATTTGCCAGTGAAGTTAGCATAAATATCACCACAGGAAGCTAGATGGCTAATCTCGTAAAGTAAGAATGGTAAACACCCTAATGCAAAAATATTTTAATGACTAAATCTCCTTTTATGTTTTGGTGAATATAATATATCAGATGATCAAGAAACTCAAAAGGTCAGCTTCCTACAGTGATAATTACATAGAGAATTCAGCAACACAAAACAAAACTGGGGAGAAAATTGAATGGAAAACAAAATAAAACCACACTATATTTATGACACTGGATAAAACAAGAGGAGCGAACATCAATCATCAAACAACCCAACACCAAGAGAAGTCAAGTGGGCACTCTCACCAAGTGTGGGCACGGTCCCATTCCTAGTCAGAAAAACTAAACGAATAAAAACAAACAAACCAGGTAACAAGCTATATCAAGTACTGCAACCTCCTTTTTGTCAAATTTTGGTAATATGGGGATGTTTTAATAAATAAAAGATGTATATTGTTCAGCTCATACAAGTAAATACTAAGATCTACATATTTCATATATATTATTTACTTTCACATATCAATAAGAAAATAAGTTTGAAGCAAGTGATATAATGGAATGTTATAACACTAAGCAGTCAGTTATTATATCTTTCAGTATATAGTTAAATCAGTTTAAATGCATAAATAGTGGTCCACTAACAGCATGACATTTTTGCAATAATGGGTATTGCATAAAAACAAATCGAATTACTACAATGTTGTTCTCTTTAATTTTACAAGGCTACATACATTATGCCTACAGAACATACTAAATTATTTCTTTTATAGTGGACAACATTTTCCCTCTTTGCCAAACAGCTTCATCACAACACCAAACTTCATGCATGAAATTAAGTTAATACCTTCAAATTTAATATAATTATTATCTTGGGCATTGTCCCACCAAATACATATAAATAGCAATTAAATAAACAAAACTTACTTTTACCAAATTACAAAAATGTTTATGCTATTCACAACTCTACAATCCCTGGAGAAATTAGTAAATCTTTCAGGCCAACTTCTCTTTACATGTGGGGAAAATGCCGAAGACTGAATCAACCTTCACCACTTGATAAGAAATTAATTTTCTGCCATCTAATGATGTCCCTTACACCCAATAATACAATGGAAGCTACAAAAAGGACATCCACTCACCGTTAGGGACTGTGGGCGGCTTCTTTGTTTGTACACGTGCAGTCGCATTGTTCACCTAAAGACATCATTAAAAAAGGTTTCAGCAAAATAATACTAAGGACAAAATTTTACATAAGAAACAACAAAACATGACTCTACTTTAGTGGGCAGTTGCTTAGTAATGGGTAGATATTTATAATTTTGATTATTAAAAACTGCATGAATTATAAATTGACAATAATTGATAAAACAATTATATTCACAATTCCAAAATTATGAAAAAAAATTTAAGCACACTGCTGGTATCACTTGAATTCTTATAGAGAACAGTAGGTGACTTACACTCTAAACTTATGTCTAAATGAAATTAGCTTTAAAACTAATCTAACAAGAAATCCCCAGTCGGAGCGGAGCCATGCAACTGTAGGGGAAGTCATCACCAGGTGCGCATGTGAAGACACACGATAAGCACTATTACCAACCTGGCCAGCTCAGAGTTACATGCACTCTTCACATTCTACACCAGCAAAGAGCAGCACCATCAAATGAAACAGCTCACAAACTAGGAAAATCCACTTTTACATGAGCAAAGAATCTGCTTGAACATTTCTTAACACAGAAAAATATTTATATTATGATACATTTGCTGAAACAGCATTCATTTTGACGCATGTGCAACAACCTAAATATCTTCACAGTAAGACAAGTAAGCTGAATGTACTATTATACAAGAATTTGCATAGATTCTATGGAGTAGCTCAACATTGAATAGGCAAAATCAAACCAAAGAAGAAAGACTGACATTCAAAGCTAGAAATTACATACATGCAAAACACACAAAATAACTAACAAAAATATTCTTTTTGAGCAATCAACAATCATAAATTAATCTATCCAACAATGTTGAAAAGCAAATCAGGTCACATAAATGTTATTTCAAGAGTGCATGATTTTCCATAAATCAATTTTTTTTGAAGAAATATATATATATACACACACATATAAAAAATGTGCTCAGCTTCATGGCCAGATTGGTAAGAGTGCTACAGAAAAATTACCCACAGAGGGCTATCATCTTGCAATATGCTAGAAATGCAAACCAGATCAGTCATTTAGTATGGGTTCAGAAAAATGTGTCTGAATGAAGCACATATAAATACACATTGGTTGGAATACAAAAGTGCTTTTAAAAAATAAAAAAAATAAACATCTATTTAATTTTATAATTTTCATTTTAACACACATAAGAACTTCAATAAATTATATAAGAAAATCAATGACTGAATCGTACTATGTGCTTCATCCATACATGAATAGTGTTCTGTGTAAGTGTTCTGTTCCGTTCATCAAAAGCATACAGGATCATACGTACATAATGGATGTGTTTGTATGCAACAGTTCAAGCCAGCAAAAATCTGCACTCTACAGAGAAACCAATGTGAATACATTTTGTGTGCAAGTTCAAGTGTTGGTCAATGGGGTAAAATGTTACTAGAACATTAATACAAAATTTTCTTGACATTCATTTTTATTTACTACAAGTAACAGGTAATGCAAAAATAATTTTGGCAAATATACAGGAACTCCAAACTTACTCAAAGCATACCATGACCAACACTTACTCCTGACAAAAGCTGTTTTCTCTCCACACACACGCAAGCCACGTCTGGCATCCACAATCCAAGTTGCATCAACAAGATCAATCTAGGACATTCAGTAAAGTTACACAAGAGAATGTCTACAAAGCCAAGAGATGTGTAGGCGAGTGTAAATGTGTACTGAAAATGTAGTAGGGCTAAACCCAGAAAGTTGACAAGTACATGAATTCGTTTGTTATATTGACAAAAAGATTGTACAAATGAAACATTAAAATACAATCTCATTATACAAGTTTAAAAAACCCAACAAAACAAAAAACTTACTGTCAATATTGTAAAATTTCTTGCTAATGTTACATAAAAATAATGAAAACAAACTTTGAACTTAATTAGTAAGTTTCCAGTACTAAAATTTCACATTTTTATCACTAAGATACAGTATTGAAATATTTCTCCATTAAAATCTTGTACAGCTTTTATATATCTTTGCAAGATTCAATTGCACAATGCATGAACAAAAACTTGATCATCAAAATTTATTATCAAAGTCTCAGTTTGTGTATGTGGGTAGGGAAGAAGGGAAATTGTATGTAGTGTTGTGAGAATGTATGTGTGCATGTATGTAATGGCATGACACGAGAAGTAACAAGATTACATTATTCATTACGTCATATGCTAGTACCTTGCAGCGAATGACCGATCCATCTTACCTCTGTCGCTCCTTCTCAGGGAGAAGCAAACCGTACGTACTACAACTTTTTCATCGGCACTTTTTATTTTATTTGGCCGTCTAGAGAGGTAAGAGTAGAACAATAATAATGTTGAATTGCTGCATTCAAAGAAGACAATGAGGTTACCTTACAATCTAAAAAGCAAGCCACAACGAATGGAGCCTAGGGCACATAAGATGAACCTATTGCGGCTCCTTTCGCTGTGACATCTGGATCTCTTAAAAACTACACAAGTACTTAACATAAGCTTAACAACTTATAAGTAATTGGCAAGACTCCATGCAAATGATTCATAGTTGTAATTTAACTATGAATATAGTTGCATGAAGTCTTGCTCACAATACATAGCATTAAAACACTTTAAAACTACAATTCAGCAAAGGAATGTCAAAATGCACTGAGAAAAAGATACTAGGTGTGGGAAGTAAGTTACTTCAGCAATCTAAAGATTTCTGATTTCACTAGGAAGGGAAGTTGTAGTTGTAGCAATTTAAAAAATATATATAAAAAAGATAAAAAGCAATTAATTACAAGCCCAAGAAAAATAAATAGCAAGTGAGGTTATTGAAAATGCTTCAGAATTAATTTTAGTGTGAAAGTATTTTTCTTGCTTCAGTATGAAATTAAAGCTCTACTTGAGGAATGGTCAGGAGAAAAATGAAATTACATTTAGGAAGAATCAACAGGAAACTTTAGGGAAATCAAATTTAATGTAACGGATAGTAAAGGATTTGCTAATGTAGGGAAAAGAAATTGATGGAAGGAAAAATTACTTGTTCTAACTGTAAATGCAGACAATCACATTCAAGGCCCATAATCAATCCAATCAACACGGCATCATTATAATATCCCAGCCACCAAAAAGAACTTCCTTCTGCTTTTGCTAGCTTCTACAAGAGCCACCAATAATTACAACTCAGGGGAGAAAGGAGGCAGAAGGTACAACTGTTACACTCAATAAACAATAACAGTGAATTTGACATTGCTTTGCTGACTTGAAATCAGGGGAAAAGGAAAGGGGGAAAGCATAGAACGTGAAACAAATGGAAATAGGATGTAAAACTTATTTGGAACACAGCTTGTCATTCAGTCTTCCCTAAATCAGGAATAATACCAGTATTTAAAATATAGAGATGAAAGGACATTGTAAGTTTTAAGAATCATCCCAATTCCACAAACAAACCATTTGCCAAGCATAAGTTGAAAAAACAACAAATCAGAAACAATTTAAAACTTACAATTACTCAGCTTTAACTTAGAGACAGCCACACACAATTTTTGACACTTATCATTCAACTTGCTTGCCAATGTTTGGGAAAACTTCACTCATACCTTTCCTCGTTTCCTAATAAAATACTGGGAAAAACACTTGGGAGAAAAAAAAGGGAGCAGAAGTATGGTGTCTGCTGAACTTCAATACATTTCTATTAATCAAACTCACAGACAGGAGAAGTCACTAATTCTTTACAACGGACCACATTAACATTTCTAATATAATTTTGTTTACATTTCATTTTTATATCTGATTCTACTGAAAAATTTACCATTCACATAAAAAAGTGGATTAAAATTAATCGAATTAATAAGGATAGCCAAATTTTGGCTGCAATTGTTTCCTTCTCCCACAAGTAAAGGTGAGGCATGCACTCCAAAAAAGAAAACAACAACAAAATAATCTGACAGAAAATACTGTTACTCAGGCATGCAGCAGAGTGTAAAAATGATATCTTGGCATGCTTCATCAAGAGAAGTTTATTGAGCTGCAATAAATTAACACACTAATCCAACAAAGAAGCTATGTAAAAATAAAATAAAACAAATTTCCCTCCACAATTGTGCTAATTTGGTAACAAACACACATAACAAGTGGCTTGTTCATTTTCTCAGAAGTGGTTCAATAGAAGCATATGGTTAGATAAGGCCAATCCATAACGCAACCAACGGCAACTGTTGCAACAATGCACAAATAAAACTCAAGCTGTACTAGTCACAATGCACAATTATTTACAACAATGTGCTGTGGCTAGTTCTGTGACAATGCTGCTACTTTTATCCCTTAGCACAAATTGGGACATTGGCTCATGAACACCTACTCAATAATACTAACACTAGAAATTTCTATGCTGAATAATTCCAATTCCTAATGCAATGAAACTATTTACATTATGTTTGAATAAAATGAACACATACTTTGTGTGATTAAAAACTTATTTTCCGTCAAACAAATAATTCCTTAGGTGTATCTTCTACACACAATATTACTAGCTGCATGCCATGAAAAATCCTGAATAAAGAATATCTGGTACACCAATGTAACCTAATTAAAGTTGGGGCAACTTACGGTTTTGCTTTCTCGCTAAAAAAGTTAAAAGTGACATAGGGCCATTCTACTCTTCCCTTCTCACTGCTGCTTTTCAGTAAATCATACCAATTTAATCACAGATTTTTTTTACTACTTATTATCTCTTGAAAAGGGACAAATGTGTACAGAATCTATGAAGGTACAAACTACAGCTGGTAACAAAAGACAACCTCAAGCTTTGTTCCTAAAGGCCTGAGGTACAGACAGGCTCAGAGAAACCATACAACTGCAAAAACAAGGAGAGGAAAGGGTGAGTAAGAACACAGGAATAAGCAAACGTTGGAGGGGCAGGTGAGGAGGTACAGCAGGAGGTGGAGATTAAAATTGGAGAAATTTAATGAAACGGGGAAGGTACAGAAAACATTTCTTTTTTTTTATTAATAAAAAGGGAGTTTTCTTTTCTCCCCCCCCTTTTTTGTGAAAAGGTCCAAATTACAGAGGAGGAACTTGCAAAGGATGTGGCAACAAACATTGCAAGAGGCCTTCTCTCTACAATTTCTGACGATCATTTAGAACATGCCACATCATTCCAAATGTCCAGAAACAAACAAGGACTGCTTGACAATGCTGTGCGCCTCATCAGCAACAGGAGAATGGAATGAAGAGCTAGGACCTGTAATACATAGCAAATTTCACAGGTTCTTCTCGAGTCTGTAGGTGGTAACTCAAAAGAACCTATGAGGGGTATAGGGCAAAAAAACTAAGGGATGAATGAGGCTAAGGAGAAGGTGTGAAGAGCTATAGAACCTGTAATACATAACAAATTTCACAGGTCCTCCTTGAGTCAGTAGAGGTAATAACTCAAGTGAACCAGCTTAGGGGACAAAGGGACAAAATAATTAAGGAGGATCCATTTGGTTTGTTATCCAGTTAAAACTGAGTGCTACCACAGAAAAACTCTGTTGTAAAATCAGAGATCATGCACACCTCTATCTTTCTTCCCTCAACCACGGTGCCGTGTAGCCTCTCTCGTGCGCGGTCCGCATCAGCACTATTTGCGAATGTTACAAAACCGAATCCCTGCATGCAGACAGACAAAACATGCATTAAAAAACTGGCGTCGCTCAAAAAACAACGTGCAACAAAAATTAACATGTATGCAATATAGAGCAGAGCTTCTTGAACTTTTACATCACAACTCCTCCTTTTTAAAGAACATCAAAACATTATACACTTTCTTTTAAGTTCTCTACTGTTATGTACAGTTTAATACATTGAAAATCATAACAAACTGCTGCAAATTATCATTCAAGATTTGAAAACATTAATGGAATATTTAAATATACAATTCTTTTCAACTCTAAATTTTGCATTTTGGCTCCTCGACTAGTACCATTCTCATTTTTTTTAACTGTTATCACTTTTAATAATGGTTCACATAAGAAAGTTCTTCAATAAATAGCAAGACATAACCAAAAAGGTAGAACATAAAGCTTTAAATTTTCTCCTTGCCCACAGCAAATTTTTCACTTGCTACAAAATAGCTTTTCTCTTCTTCATTACTACAGCTTCTTCAACTGGCCAAGTGATGTCCAAGGAGTCGTGTCAAATAGTTTAAGAAGCCCTGGTATAGAGTATTTGTAGTATTTTGTTCTTTGTTGGAAGTTCATTAAATATACATATATTAAGAGTAATATATATCAAAAATCATGGATAATTGAAATTACTATAATTATTCAAAATCCTTCACTGTTAATGATAACAGGAAGATGAAATGAGTCTTCAAGAAATAGTTTGAGAACACTTCTTTCCATTATTTTTAATAACTGTAGGGTCCACCTTGTTGCATTTTTACAAAATTACTTCCAAAATGCAGCAGCAGTGCAAGCAAAAGCAAAGATTTCATTTCTATGACTTGTAAATAAGAGTGACAGCAAGAAGAGAAAGAGAAACAAATGACCAAAATCAAATTAATTAAAAAAAATAATATTAATATTTTTTCCAAATTTCTTACAGAAGTATAGCAGTAATTTGAAATATATATATTAAAAAAGAACGTTAATGAAGGAAGAT